GGGATTTTCGGAGGGGTGGGGGGGGACCCCCGGGTTCCGGAGGAAAAGGGCGGCAATTTTCCGCAGTAAAGCGGCGGTGGATCACGCTCTCTCAGAAAAATAGTATGAGGACGATTCTTTGTACCCTGTTTGAACATTTTGGGGTAGTTTTGGAATCTGTTACATTTTTCGTCCAAAATCCGCCTCTCGGAGGACATGCCCGACCTAACCCCAGGACATGTATATCGACGCCCTGCACATCACCGGCAAGTGGGCGGACGACAGGCAGTTCGGGGGCCTCAGCTTCTTCGCTGACAGGCGCAGCGAGGCGCCGGGGAGGGGTCCAAGGCTTCAGATCAGAGGCGACGACAGGGGCGAATAGCCCAGGGGGGGGGCAATACATGTATCCAGGGGCGCCGAGGATCCCTGTCTTCGGCGAGGCTGCCGGGCGAATACGTATGATGTCCGCCACAGGGCTTTTCGCCACTTTCGTCGCCCCCGATCAGAGGAGGAGACAGTCGACAGCGAGCGAGGGGGGGACGTGAGAGGGGGCGGGCCTTCTCAGAAGTCTCGGCAGTCCCCCGGCCTTCTGAGAAGTGCTCTGAGCTTTCCCCGAAGCTCCCTTTCCCTCCTCCTCCCTCCTCCTTCCTCCTCTCCTCCCCTACTCCTCCTCCTCCTCCTCCTCCTTCCTCCTCCTCCTCCTCCCCTCATCCTCCCTCCTCCGTCCTCCTCTCCCCTCCCTCCTCCTCCTCTCCCTCCTCTCCTCCTCCTCCTCCGTCTCCTCCTCTTCCCCCTCCTCCTCCTCCTCCGCCCCTCCTCCTCCTCTTCCTCCCCCTCCTCCTCCTCCTCCTCATCCTCCTCCCAGGAAGCCCCTGAAAGAAATGCTCGGCGGCGAGCGAGGGGGGGAAACGAGAAGGAGGAGGCCTTCTCAGAAGGCGGAGGGGCTTCTCAGAGGCCCTCGCGCCTTCCGAGAAGTCTTGTTCTGCTTTCGGGGAAGGCTCAGAAAATGTCTCAGAAGGCCTGGGGACTTCTCCGAGGCCTCTGAGGAGGCCTTCTCTTTTTCTCACTTCCCCCCGCGCTCGCCGCCAATCATGGGATCGGTCGTCGTGTGCTTCTTGGACCTCTCTCGGAGGTCTGCTTGGACTTCTGGGACATCTTCCATCTGTCCTTCAGTCGGGCCTGTCCCTCTACAGGGGGAATGTTCAAAAATACTCGACAAATAGTCTGGGCACGGTTTTTGCTGAATACCATTTTTGGGGGGCATCTGGGGGGCGGGGCATTAGGGGGGGTGCGCTCTGCTCTTCGTCCAGAACCCGCCTGCAGGGGGACGCGCACGACCCAAACCTTGCCCTGGATCCTGCGCGGAGCTCTGCGCGGGCTGCCCGCATCCGCGGCGCCCCCCCCCGGGCGGCGCGCCCGGCGCTGCCTCCGCGGGGAAGCGCTCCGCGCGCGCCCGGCCGGCGGCGGGGGGGGGGCCGGCGCCGACCGACCCGGGAGGTCCGCGCGGGCCTCCAGACAACGTGTGCGCTCGCGCGGGGGGGCTCTTCGGATGCCACTCCAGCCTCGCGGGCGGCCTCGATGTCCTGCTTCTCCAGCTCCTCATCCTCTTCTTCCTCCTCCTCGTCTTCCTCCTCCTCCTCCGCCTCCTCCTCCTCCTCCTCGTTTTCCTCTTTCTCCTCCTCCTCCTCCTCCTTTTCCTTTTCCTCCTGGGAGGTCAAATTTTGGTTTCCTGGCATCGCTCGGACGTGTGCATGTTTTCGAGGACCATCGAGGAGCATTCTGGGTCACCTCCTAATTACGTAAAAATACACGCACGAAATCGAAAAATGCACAGGGAACGGACGTCCGAGCGATGGCGAGTTTTCGCCCCGGTCCGAAATCCGGCCTCATCCAGCTGAATCCGGCGCAATCCCGCTGAATCCCGCCGAATGGCCTGATCATGCTTAGTCTGAGGCCCACTCCAGCGTCACAGCTCCCGAATGGGGCTCAATCCTCCTTGAGCTTTCCGACGAAAGCCTCCCAATAGTTGCCTCCTAACTTCTGGCCTCACTCACTCACTCACGAACTCCGTGGCGCGCAAGGCTCCTCTGTGCCTCTGATGCTGCAGCGAGGCGCGCGGAGACGCCATGCACCGTGCCGCGCCTTCAGGCCCCGTTCCTCCTCCCCCCATTCAGGGGCAGGGCTGGGACTTGGCATCGCTCGGACCTGTGCATTTTTTCTCGGCGAGAACCACCGAGGACCATCCTGGACCATCGAGCAGAAAAAGCGCGCACGGAACCGAAAAATGCACGGGAAGTGGACGTCCGAGCGACAGCCAGTGGCCAGCTTGTGCGGAGCTGCGTGCGGCCGTGGAGGACCAGAGCGCATCTGACTGAATGAAGTCTTGTCCTGCTCTCTGCCGTACTACCCAGGCGCTTGCTGGAAGTCCCTGATCATTGAATCGAGGGTGACTGGGGGTGCGAAACACGGCCTGCTTTTCATGTCTCCCTTGCGGCCGTGGAGGAGGAGGAGGAGCAGGAGGAGGAGGAGGAGGAGGAGGAGGAGGAGGAGGAGGCGGGGGAGGAGGAGAAGGAGGAGGAGGAGGAGAAGGAGGAGGGAGAGGAGAAGGAGGAGGAGGAGGAGGAAACCGAAAAATGCACGGGAAGTGGACGTCCGAGCGACGGCAAGGGGAGGGGAGGGGCTCAGGGGGCGACGCATCGACCCACAGTCGCCCACGGATCGCCGAGGCGGGCCTGACAGCCCCAACCCCCCAGGCACGCGCGGAGCTGCAGGAGGAGGAGGAGGAGGAGGAGGAGGAGGAGGAGGAGAGGGAGGAGAACGAAGAGCAGGAGGAGGAGGCGGAGGAGGTGTTAACATGTAAGCGTTCAGGTGACTGGGGAGGAAGGATGACCCTGTTACCTGTGGCTCAAGTGTTTAACGGCTGAAGCCACCGAGACTCGCTTCGCCGTGCGGGAGTAAAAAGGTGACCGATCGTCATCGCTGTCACCGGGCTCCCGTGCAGAACCCTCCTCGGGGTTTTGCGTGGTAGCGGAGCGCGGTTGCCATGGCGGCGGCAGCGGCCGCTGCAGCTAGGCCCGCGCAGGGCGACCCGCCGGTCAACCTTAATGTGCCGGCGGACAGAGATGCATGGGTCAACATGGACCCTAACCGCTTCAACGACCTGTGCGAGCAGGCGTACCTGAACGGGGACTTCAGTTACGTTCAGACAGCGTTACTTGCAAATCACTATGGACTTGCGACGTTCATTAACGAGCGAGTGACACAGGACCGAAGGGAAGTATCGAACGCTGAGGCATTTCAAATGTTACAGAGCGCGCAGAAGACCAACAGCATGTTGTTAGCGATAACGAAGAGAAACGCTGCGCTTGAAAGGGATGCTCGCAGGTTGGTAGAAAGAGCCACCGAGTTGGAGACCAACAGCGAAGCACAAGAGAAGTTAATTGAAAAAATTGGTCAACTTTCGGAAGCAATCAAAGGAGGAAGCGGAAGTAAGCACGGGAGCGGTAAACCGATAAGCGAGTACAAAGCATTACAGGCGTTAAAGAACTTCAGTGGAGAGAGAGCAAAGTTCAGAGACTGGAGCGACAAGTTCTTAAACGCGCTGGCCCAAGTAAAACCGAGTTACCGACCGGCACTGAAAATGCTGAACAAAAGTTTGAGACACTCGACGGAGTTGTACCGGAGGAAGATGATGATGATATCATACGCATAATGAACGGTCGGTTAACAGCAAGCGAATACTTAAAGGCGAACCCAGCTAAACAAGCAGAGGATGACAACAAAAGAGCATGAGTTTACCGAGGGAGACAAAACTCAAATGGAGGAAGACTTATGGTACATCCTTAACGAAAAGCTCGAAGGTGCAGAAGCAAGAGGAAAATTAAATGGACTCATGGATGGTGACGGAATTATGGCTTGGCAGAAGGTTTGCAAATGGTACTCGGCTGTTACCGGAGCGACCCTTTCCTCAAAGATGACACACGCCATGAACCCTGAGCCGCCCCAGAAAATTACCGACACCGCTACCCGACTTGAGGAGTGGAGCGCGTTAGCGGAGAACTTTGAAAAGTATGGCAAGGATTACTCACTGCCCCTCCCCTTTAAGGTTACCGCGCTCAGGGCAATCATGGCGCACGCGAATGATTGGTTTGACGAGTGGCAGCAGGCGCGCTGGCGAACGCCCGACGCACTTAACATTGACTCATTCCAGAAGCCATACTCCAAGTGTGAAGATTGGGCGCGTAAAAAGAAACTCGACTCAGACACTAAGAATAAAGATGCGATGGACATTGGAAATATTAACGAGACGAGTCAAGGGTCCGACAATGTCTGGGATCAGACAGGATGGGTCGACGAAGACGGAAATTGGTGGCCAGAGGATGGATCTTGGAGTCACGGGCCCTGGGCTAATGACAGCGACAGTGGAGATCATGAAGAAGTCGACGCTGTAAACAAGGGTAAAGGTAAAGGCTCAGGCCCCAAATGTTACAATTGCGGAGGCATGGGTCATTCAGCCAGGAACTGCACAAAGCCTAAACAGTTTACGAAAGGAGGCAAAGGTGGCAAAGGCGGCAAAGGTAAAGGTTACCGCGCCACCTATGGATCCTACATGAAAGGTAAGATTGGAGGTAAACAAGGTGGTAAAGGGAGCGGCTCGCGGGGTGGAAGTTACGGAGGCCAAGGAAGATTTACCCCCCACAGCGAGCGTGAGTGCTACAAGTGTGGGGCTAAAGGGCACATCGCCGTTAACTGCCCGGGCCCCAAGAAGACCGCCGACGAAGTTGAGCAAGAGAGACCAACGGTGAACGCGGAAAGTGAACAAACCACCTCGTTTGGCCAACCGCAGCACGTGCTCAGCGTTGAAATGAATGATGAAGTGAACGTGCCGCCGGAACAGCTCACAGCTGAGGAGATTAACGGACAATGGGCACTGCCCTCGCTTTCCAGAAAGAAAATGGCGCGTAAAGTCGCAGTGGACCTGAGAAAAGCCTATCAGGAGCAACAGCGTAACGGGAACTGCAATCATGTGAATCAATGGGACCAGAGGATAAGTAAAAGTATAAAACAGGAAAAGAGCTGGTTGGAGAAATGTAGAGAGATTGGGCTAATCGAGATGCGAGACTGTGATCCAGAAATTAACGCGGTGCCACCTCAGAGTACAACGCATGAAACAATCGTGGTTACCGTGGACTCTGGAGCGTACAACACGGTAGGACCCCCAAGAGTAGGCACCTACTTCCCCATTTAACAGACAGATGCGTCAAAGCAGGGAAGACACTACAGCGCAGCAAATGGAACGACGATAAAGAATTACGGGCAGCGAGTAGT